CCCTCCACAGATAAAGTCATTAACCAGATGAGCACTGTGAGTGGTGGCTGTAGGGAGATGCTCCTTAATGGGACCTCGAAGGCTGAAAAAAAGGACATTGCTGAATCCATTACGAAAAAGAATGGGCACCAAGCCTCGATAATACTCTCGAATTCCATGGCATTTCTGTGCCCGGAAGGCCTGATAAGTATTTGTGAATTTGTCATGATGCTTGTGGTCTTGAAGCAACGTCTGAACTCTTTCCAATGGAGTGAAAATGGCTTCTGTTGTCCCTGCCAGGATTGCCGCCACACCCCGGGTCGTAAACTCGGGAGCACTGACGTGCTTATGGAGAAGGCAAGATAAATCCTCGTACAGACCAAACATAAGCGCCAGGGTAGTTGTTTTCTGCATTAATGGGGGAAGGATTCCACGATACAAGTTTTGAAATCCATCCCTCCTCAACTGAAGCACTGCATCCCGGGTTTTGATCCCATAAAGCTGCTGCCGAAAGAGGACCTTCTGAATGGGAAATGTGACTGCTATATTGGTGAAAGCTGCGCAGCAGCCGCACAAGTAATGCTTCATTTCACCAACACTAGTGATGTGAGGCGATATGTCTTGTTTTGAAGATGTTAGGATTGGTGGCCTCTTTTCATGAGCTTCTGAACCCATCATGTTGCTTCCGATCTCTGCTGTTCATGAAGGATTTTTTAAACCTTTATAAGACATTTGTTTCCATAAATTGCAAGCTCTTTCCTTCTAGTCATATAAACTTAATTTTCCACAAAAAAAAGATTTAAACAGTTGAGTTATCCAGAGCAACTCCTACATTCCAAGACTGGTGCTGGAAATCATCTTTATCTGTGACACCAGCTGATCCTTGCATTGTAGGGAATGACAGATGTTTGGTAACTTTCTCAATTTCTTCCATTGCTACTGGTTTCTTAGATTCCCTCTTCTGGAGTTAATTCTGATACCTGGATTTCCATGGCCACAGGCGCCGGCACACGCCCATACCTCCCGCCCGCAGGACGGCCCATGAGCCAGCTGGCTCCCGCACAGGCGCAGACCTGGACTCCTTTCTTTTTTTAAATAATTTATGAAATGCTTTTTTTTTTTTTTTTTTTTTTTTTTGTGGAACCGGGGATTGAACTCAGACCCTTGTGCTTGCCAGGGAAGCACTTCTTCCACTGAGCCATCTCCCTGGCCCGAGACACTGGTTTCAAGAGGACTACACAAAGGATACTACTGGGCTGAGCCTGCCAGGTTGGAGAAAGAGTATGTTGTGAGTCCATGGGCTGGGGAAGGTCCACTGCAGGTCCCACACCCCTCCTCTGGCAATGTCCTTCTAGTGTTCTTCAGTGAGAACTTACAGTCAGGCTCAATGTAAAGGAGAAATACTTAAAGGAATTCTGTTACTTATCACAAAGTACATATTAAAGATGCACTTGGAACTGAGATGAAATAAATGAATAACTGGCCCAGATGGGTAGGCTTGTTATTTTAACTGCCCTCTAAAGCTGGCTGGCAGGAGTTTCCTGCTACCCTGCGCCGGCGGGACCAGTCCCAGCCCAGGCGCAGCGTGGGCCAGACCCTCTCCCAGCACCTCGGGCCGCCCCCCACCACTCCGCAGTGCCTCCCCCACCCCGCCCGCCGAGTAGGATTTTCTGCCGAGTTCCGGGAGCCCCCAGACCCAGTCCTA